AGTTTTGCATAACTGTGGGGCTCTTTTTGCATGATGGGAAGTTGTTTGTGTTTCCGTGCCCAGTGCTCCATTTCCTCCCCTCCTCCCTGCTTCCTCTACACTTTGTTCTTCCTCCCATTAACCTATCTTTAAATTTCTCCAATGTGGTTATGCATAAGGATGAATTCACTGTGGCAGATTTGCCTGTGTACACAACATAACTGGATCAGCCTCCCTTGGTGTTATTTCCATCTTGTAGAGAGTTACACGTGTACGAAATGCACTGGGAATGCATGTCAGTCTAAACCGGAGACCTGTGAGGCCTCTCAGGGCTGCTTCAATAATAAGCAACAGTTTAGCCCACCAGGTAAGCCCTGCCTGCCACCCGCCCATGCTAGTGCACACAGGACCTGGGAGGGAGGGGTTGCTCAGCTCAGGATTTGGTGTAGCCCCTCCCTCCCCTCTACTCCTCTACTCTACCCTGGCTCCATCACCTAAGGTCCTCCTAGGATGAGGCTGGGTGTGGGTGGGGGAGGTGGCAGGGGTGGGCACCATGCCAAGTGAAGGGTCTCAGGGGGAGGTGCTGGGTGACTCCAGTCCCCACATCCGTCTCAGGGGTGGGGGATCAGTGAGAAAGGACACCTCCTACTTTTTTGTGATTTTGCATTCAAACCCAAGGTCCCACACATGCCAGGCAAGCACTGGAGCACCCCCATCAAATGGTTCCTCCATGGGTTTGTTCTATGAAGAGGACCATTGGGGAAGACTCTTGGGAAAGTGGAAACACTAAGGATAGAGGGGTGCCCTTGCAGAATTCCTTGATACTGGCTGCCCGTTGGACACCCCCCTCTCTAGGACTCAGAGGGAACATTCTCTTTGGTTCTGGTTCTACACAGGTATTTCACCAATAATTACACAGGATAAGGGCTGCTCTTCAAGTGCGTGCACTCCCCTGTCCTTCTCTGCCACTGTGAGGACTGGATGGACATTTGTGTATGAGAACCGGTGCTGCACGAGCAAGGAGTGTAACAAAGCCGACATCCAACGTGAGTGCCTCCTGCTCTCCCAGCTCCTGGATTTCCTCTGCCTCGGAAGTCACCCACCACCCACCTCCACTTCCAAGAGGCCCAGAGCATTTTCTTTTCTTGTGAAGGGGCAGTTTGGACCTAAGTCCCTTCTGCATGGGAGACGGGTAGCTGAATGGTGGGACAGCCCTGGGCATTTTTTCTATTTGTGCTTTGGGTCACCATCCCAGCAGAGAGACTCTCCTTACCTATCTCACTCCTCACCTCTCTTGTTCTGTTTTGCTGAGATGGACTCTCACTATATTCTCACGCTGGCCTCCAACTCCCGGGCTTGAGCAACCCTGCAACCTCAGCTTCTAGGGTGGGGATGGCTAGGACTGTGGGTCGTAGGCCACACACACCTGTCCTACAGTGTGTGAGCAGCATCATTTCAGGCCTCAGATTACCTTCTGCCCCATTATCTAGGATTGTTCTCCAGCCAGGGAGAGAAAAGTCCTTGATGAAGGGGGAAGATAACACTAAATCCCTACAAGCTCTCTCTCTGATTACTATTTCCTACCTGATCCATAAATCCTGTCCCTAACCCTTCCTATACCAATCTAGCTGTGAATGGTTTGAGGGATTTTGGAATATCCACGAATCCTGGGGGGTTGTAATTCTCTCAGGTATTCTTTTTGCCCATTGCTCACCATGAAAATGTTCTCTCTTTATTCAGTGTCTCCAGTGTCCAAGGAAGAAAATGGCATTGTATGTCCTGCCTGCTTCTCTGAGAATGGCACGTTCTGTAGCCCACAGCCCCTCAAGTGCACAGGGGCAGAGACGAAGTGTGTCGAGGTTATAGGCAAAGGTATGGAGATTTCCCAAGCATTTTGGGTCATCCTCTTAATGGGCACAAGGTGTCAGCCATCTATTGCTGTGTACCTAATTAAACCCAAACTTAATAGCTTAAGAGGACATCTGTCCCCCTGTGATCTGCAGATGGCATGTCTGAGAGGGGCATAGAGGTTGTGCTGGCTCAGGCTGTCTCCTGAGCTGTGGTCCAGCTGGCAGCAGGAGCTGAGGTCGCTCAGAGCAGGATCTGCTTCCAAGCCCATGCAGCCTCCATTCCTCTTCCTGGGCCTCTTCCTAGGTCTCCTGGGGGTCATGACCTGCCAGCTGGCTTCCCCCAGAGCTGGGATGAGAAGTGGGTGGGGGAATTGAGGTTCTTCACAGCTCATGTGAGAAGAGACACTGCTTCGTTTTCTCCTACCCTCCTAGTCACATAGAGCCACCCTGGTGCACCGGGGGAGGAAGGCATGGAGGCACCGTCAGCAGGGGGGGACCTGCAGCTGCATGACAGTGCCTGACGCCCACAAGCAAGAGGTGGTAGAGGGCCAAGGGCCTGGGTATCCCTCCTAGGATTGCAGGGAGCCATGGGGCAGGAGACAATTGAGCAGCTCAGA